GGATCAGGAAGGGCCATTGACCCTGAGACCACTAGGATGTGTTCGGGAGCTATTTGACCCCATTTCTTTCCCCTTTCTACCCAGCACTAACCAGATTAAGCTCCTGTGAACTCAAAACATAAATAATTCTGAGACTGGGACGAACAAGCTAACTTTAGAAACTCATTGCTCCCATTCTTCCACAAACTGCAGTTTTGGCTTTCATACAACTTGTAATTCAAACTCGTGTCACATCTAAGAGCCTTAGTATTGGTCACAGGCTTCTGGGTCATGATCTTAGGATTTATTGAAGGTGTAAATGTAGAATATAGTTTTAGAAGACAGTCATTTTGTTGAAAGAATGCGGCTGGGTTACTTGCAGGTAGCCCACTGTGAACTTTGGACTGGGCCACATTCCAAACATTCTGGGATGGGCCACTTTCGTTTGTAAAGTAAATACTTAAGCTTCTATAGAATTGTTTAACTTGGCATAAATCAATCAGCTTAGGATGAAAAAGGTTTATAGAATATGTCCGTCATGGATTAGGATATCCTTTGTTATGGGATTTTAAGATTATCATATGAAAAGGGTTTAAAGGCAATCATTGATTAAGTTTTCATGGGTTAAGGTTTCTGGTGGGTGGGGGACGCCCCTCCCACATCTGACTTTGTGTATAAAAGACCCGTTGTAATTCCCAATAAAACACACACATCACTTCTGCACTAGACCGGAGTCCAGTCTCTTTCTTTCTCTCTCTCTCTCTTTCTCTCTTCTTCCCCGCAATCGCCGATGCCATCTCCACCTTTGGGGTACCCTGAACCCGGCTGGAGTTGGTCTCCGGCATAGGATGAAGAAACTGAGGTACAGAGAAAGGTAAAGAGATTTTCTCAAGGTCAGGCCACTAGAAGGAGGCTGAGTCAGACTTTGAACCCCAGTGATTTCCAGGCAAGAGTTCTTTCCACTTCACCAAGTCCTTAAAAAATACAATGATCAAAACTGTTGCACTGCACTGAAAAACTCAGTGCATGTCCCATCACATACACCTAACATCTGTTGGATAATTATCATTGAATTCCATATTCTAACTATGGGATAACACATACAGGAGAGTGATACCAGAGAACTTGCAGTGGGTTTGCTGTTCATCTACGTACATTGTCATTTTTATTTTCTGTTTCTTGAAAAGGAGAAACTTCAGACAAATGCAGATTTAGTTTTCTTACCCCACATTCTCTAAACCATCATTTTGAAATAAAATTATACAGCTTATGCTTAAAACATAAGGGCCAGATTTTATCTTCAAATATACCACCCACTCGCAGACCGCAGAATTTGGCCCTAAAAACCCATTAACAAATATTGTCATTAAACTAAACAGCTAATTACTTTGGATTCAGACAGAATGAACGAAATCATAGGCCAACTGCAGCTGGTAGTAATAATGGTGAGACTAACCGTATGTTACACTAGAGATTTACAGAACAAAGACATGTTAACACTATTTTTACCAAACATATAAAATTATCCTCTGAAGGGAACAAACCACTATAGTGAGAAAATTCTTTAAAGCACACTGGAATTATTTGGTACAAGAAATAAAAAAAATCTTTTCAAGGAACTAATTGCCATAATTTGAAATTATCAATGTTCAATGAAGAAGACAAAATGAAGAATTTTATCCCACTATAATACTCCACAAATGAAGAGTTACATCTAAAACTTATTTTTGTTTAATTGGATGTACTATTCTCATACTCAAGTTTAAGTTTAATACTCTATGACAGAAGAGCTTTGCTTTAAGTCTCTTTTAAAGAACCACAGACAGGATTTTCTTATAGTTCTACAAAAGTGAATTTTCTAAATAATTAATACTTTATCAGATCTTTAGAAATTTTTTAAAGCTACATTAATAAAACATACTTTAGGAAAAAAAACCCGAGAGGCAAGCAATATCAATTAATTTTATCAATTGAGGATAACTATCTATTATTCTAATTAAAGAATATTTTGATTTATTGCAATTTTCTACATATGAATCTGTAGGTTTTAAAAAATAAAAATGGGACCCCATCATAATACGGTTTTATAAATTCTTATTTTCATTTATGTGTATTATGAACATCTCTCCATATCAATAACTGTATTTTTACTCTATAAATGTTAATGATGTTCTAACTTCTTAGTGAGAATAATCAACACATTTTAATCTTTTTGTGTATCTCACAGATTTCATTATTACACTCTTTCATAATTACATCGAGGCTCACGAGAACTTTAACATATTTCATCTATTATTTTCTATGCTGATGGTCCTGATGACTCTGCTGCTCTAAAGCTGTATCTTGCTTTTGGTTGTTTTTTTTTTCACAATATTAGATTTTCAGATAAACCTGACTAACCCCGAACTAAACCTAAACATGGCTGTGCACAGTGACTCACTTCTGTAATTGGTCAACTTAGTAGAAGTTCATCTCTATGAAAAATATCAAAAAAATTAGCTGGATGTGGTGGCAGGCACCTGTAGTCCTAGCAACTCAGGAACCTGAAGTGGAAGGATCACCTGAGCCCTGCAGGTCGAGGCTGAGGTAAGCTAAGATCCTGCCACTGTACTCCAGTCTGGGTGACAGGGTGAGGCCCTGACTCAAAACAAACAAACAAAAAATAAAGACAAAAATAAATAAATCCCTAAACTTTGTTTTCATTTCCAGATTAATGATATGAAAGGTCATCCACTGACAACTAAAATAATAGTTTTAAAATTCAATTAAAAAATAGTTTTAAATTCAATTACATTTATAATACTGAGGCACTTTTCTCACTTTGGGAATCTTCCTCTTGGAGGGAAATTCCTCTTACTTTTCTTACTCAATAAATCATTATTTAAAACCACATGCTTAGTTTCTCTGTGATGATAAGTTATGCCTGACCAGATTGTTGTGTGCTGCTCTTTGTGTTAGACTTCTATAGGGCAGAGTTGAAAGACAAAATGCTGTTACACATGAGGGGATCAGACTAGAACATCTCAATGGCCCATTTCTGCTCTAAAACTTTATGCTTTTATGAGTCTAGAAAGTTTCTGTAATTTATTCCTTTTTTTGTATGTATTATTTCCTAAGCGTTGAGACTGCCTCACTCTGGTTCTCTGAGACCACATTGTAACTTTTCTTTTGGGAACTACAATTTAAAAACATAGTCTGATAAATATGCCAATGATAATGAATATGATTCTCTTGAGGACACAACTCCATTTCCTCTTCACCTGCTCCTTTTACAGAAAAAGATAAATTAACAAAAAAGAAAAAGAAAGAAAGAGATACAGAGAGAGGCGGTAAGAGTAATTTCTACATTTTTCTGAAATAGAAATATTACAGAAAATTTGTACTAAAAGCTTATTAGATTTTATTTGGAGACTTTATTCAATGATACACTTGTACACTACAGATTTGGGGATTTTGTGTTCATGTTTGGCTCTGTTAATACTGAGAACAATTCTGGTAACAGGTGCCTATGAAACTTCATTATTACAGCTAATCCGATTCTGTAAATTTTTATTTTGAATACTTGAACAGAACGCTGCCTTGTTTTATGCATTTGACCACATTCAGTTTTCTATGTGTAATACTAATAGAAAATATGTGTAGCTAATTGGCACTACAGGGATGTACTTCTTTTTGATGAAGGGTTTATTTTTGCCTTTTGATATTTTATGGACAAGAAATTCTACACAACATAAAAAAGTGCAGACAAAGACTAATGAAGAGAGAGACAAAAATATCTACAAGTCTGAAAGTAAATCAAAGGCTTTTTATCGAAAACTTCATTCTTTACTATAAAAGCTATATCACATTGAAACTTTAAACAATTAATTACAATTTAAGATCTAAATATGTACCTAACTAATCCTTTCTTTCACTGGAATAAAAAAATCAAATATTGTATAAACTTAAAATTGCAAATGATAAAAACGAAGTTGCCAAATGACAGACAGGAAATAGAAATATGATAAGGTGATGTTCAGTACATGTACATGTAATCTGCCATAAATAAATTGCCATAAATATATTGCACATCTTATAAGCTATTATCTGCCAAGAAAAACAGAGAAGCACAAACATAGTAAGCAGATGTGTTCTTTTGAAATCTAAGGCTTTTCCCTTAGTTTTCAAAATGAGGAAAAAGGATACAATCACACAATGTAGAAATGCTTAGCCAACCTTAGTAATCCTCATGATTTTCATGTTCTAGATATTTCTCATAGTTAGATCCAATAATCTTAAACATCTGAATAAATCAAAATATGACATGGAAACGAGTGACAGTGAAAGGTAGCAGTGACAGAGCTAGCCCTCTAAAAGAGAAGTAGTGACCCCTGAGAGTCAACTCATCATTGTGAACTTTAAAAAGGAATATTAATGAACATCAATAATTAGGGCTGTCCAAAAGGGAACACACATTTAGCTCCTCTGTGCTAGAATTACCCCTTCCTGATTCATTCTAATGACTAAAAGAAGCAAACAACATAACAGGACAAGTTTAATATAAAGTCTGGAAATGAAAAGCAGATTAATTGAAGGCCATTGTGTGTGTTTCTCAAAGGCCCAAGACACACTTCCGTCAGGATCACCTGGTGGTGGGTAAATGCAAAAATACAGATACTGGGACATATCTCAGCCCTAGAGGATCTAAGTTTCTGGAAATATGCCTAGGAATTAGCATTTTAAAGACTACCCCCTTGCTTTCATGTGACTCAAATGCATATTAAACTTTAAGAATCACAATATGTCATACTTTTTGGTGTAAAACTGATAATCAAATATCAACATTTTCACTGTCTTTCTCATACTTACATTTACATGATCTATAACAACTTTTAAACATGGTGCTTTATTTATTTCCCTTTTTTGCTATGAAGGTGGATTTTTAAAAATTTTACTATTTTTAAATATTTTATTAAAATATTATTCAATTTTGATATATTTAACTTATAGTAAAATGTGAGTTATACCCCAAATTCACTTACCTTCAAATCTTTGTGCTCATTCAGAAGGTGTTCAACTTATATGATGAGACTTTCAAAAGAATTGACAGGGTGGATTCTCTCTGTAATTTCCAAGGGTTTTAAGATGGCCAAGGAGACGCCTCCAACAATACTGTGGAGCAGATACCACAGCTGAAGTCAGTGAGTACCCGGAGATCTCTAAACAGAACAGAAAAACAAGTGATTGGTCACCTGTAATTCATACAGAATCCGCTACGGAGAAGGTTATTTTCAGTGTTACTAAATTTAAACTTGGCCTGGGTTTGCTGCTCCCTGATTGAGCACAGTTGTCATTTAAAATTTCATGTCATTGTAAAGTCAGAATTGCATGATAATACTGCCTACAGAAGCTTCTGGTTGGATTATAATTGTCTATTTTTTCTAAACATTGCATCAAGTGGTATGATTACTAATTTTATTTTTGATATGCAGGTGCTATATTTTGCAGCTGAATTTCTTTCCAAGTCAGGTGAATGAGGTCTCTTGGAAACATTTCTTTACACAAAACTCTATCATGCCATAAAATATAAAATGGGATACTTTTACTAAATCCCCAAAGAATCATCTGGTAGTTTTGCTATATTTCCTTTCACATGGGTAATGCTTGCTGAGATAATCAGGCATAAACAAGAATATAATTTCCTTTCTAGTCAATATGTGTTGCTTACTCAGAGAAACCAAAATTCTAGCATCTCTGCTGAATGAGTTAAACAGAAGTTGGTGGTAGTTAATAGAAAAAGAGAATAAACTATCTATGTTTAAAATTGGTTATTAATCATGCAAGTATTCCCCTAGAAATAGAAGAGGTAAAATGACAAATAACTATAAGTTCAAATTCAAAACAACAAGAGTGCATATATGTGCAGGCACAGAGTACAAAGGAGGACCCTCAAAACTAGAATTTATTCATAAAAATTGTGTATTGATTCTTACGTGTTTAAACTTCAGTCACCCTCAAAATACTTTCCATTTGATGCAATATGCCTATCGAGACACATTTTCCACTGCTCAAAACAGTTTTTGAACTCGTCCATTTTGATGTCTTTTAATGCTTCTGACATTTTTTGTTTCACCTCTTCCATATTGGCAAAATGTTTCCCTTTGAGGACTTTTATTCATCCAGGAAAAGACAAAAAAGTCTCTTGGCACAAGATTGGGTGAATAGGGAGTGTGTGTCATGGGGGTCATACCATTTTTGGTTAAAAACTGCTGAACATTCAGTGCAGTGGGCAGATGTGCTGGTAAATCACTCATTATGACATGGGCAAACTTGCAAGAATCGCCAAAAAAATTCATTGAAGCTGAACGCATTCTCTCACAACAACACTAGCTTGTCCACTGATGCTGATGGGTTCCCAGAACACTTACCTAGCGGGGGAAGTCTGTACTACAAGGGGCCCGCCCTCCAAAAGATAATTTCAGTTTTGCGGGGAGTCCTCCCTCATTAACTGTATAACAATATTTCCATGGAAGATTCTGTTGCCTGATCAACCAAAACCCATTCCCAACTATCTTCATTCTTGCTATGTATCACATATAGAGAACAGAAAGTCCAGTGCTCACTTTCCTCATTTTCCTTACTGCTAAGAGTGGTCATGGGACTCCATTCTGGTCCTTAAGCTATAAGAAGTCCCTACAGAATATTGTTTTATTGATAAATAGAAAAAATTCCTGCTTCTCTTCTCTCTTCCATGCATTTGTTTGCCTTGAATGAGAATATGATGCTTGGAGGTACAGCACCATGGTCCTATCACCATGATATGAAACATAATGAAAGTTCAGAGAAGCACAAAATCACAGACCTTGTTATTTAATGAGCACCTGAGCCAACAATGCTAACTTCTTTCTCTGGAACTCTACTTGTTTAAACCATTGGGCTTTCTGTTCCTTGCCAATTGAAGCATTGCTGGGTGACAAAATGTTAAAAATAATTTGAGAAAAAGTATGTGCCACTGCAATGGTTGTAGTGCTATCTATCTTTTAACTTAGAGTAAAATCTGCAATACAGGAAAGCTCTCCTTCTGTGGAGTCAAAAATGACCTTTATTCTGATGGAAGTCAGAACTTGCTTTCTATTTGACTCCTAGGAGAGTTGTGCATGTGGGGAATAATGGGGTAGACTGTGATGGCAACTAATTACAGCAGAATGAAATGGAAAGCCTAGTTCAGGACTTGGTTTGGATGAGGGTCCAGTACTATGGCAGGAAAAAGGCAAAAATCTCATCCTTGCCACAGTGTCAAAGCAAATCACATTACTTGAAATCTCAGTGGAAGAGATTCCAGTTTCAACTCCAAATTCATTCTCATTATTTTGCTAAGTCCTGCGGATTCTTTCTTTGAAATAGTTTTCACATTAATCTTTCTTTAATCAACATTTCCTCCTCAACCACAGTTCTGGCTTTCACCATCTCTTCCTAGACTATTGCTGTAGATGCTTCAATACATTTCTCTTTTCCTTAAACACTGCATTATGTACTATAATTGCATTGAGACCTTTTAAAAATAGTTTATTTTAAAGATGTGGGGTACAATACAGGATTAGGTGTACAAGTGGACATCATACAGGTAAAATTTGGGCCTCCCTTTGGCCGCGCTTTGCCTGGTTTGAGATCAGGTACCCTTGGTGATGTTGTGTCCCCCTGACTCCCACCCCGGCAGTATCTTCCTACTGCTAATGCTTTAAGATTTAACTCCTTAGGACATTGATTTCACTGGATAGCACTTCTGTTCAAAACACAAGAGTTCCCTTTAGTCTAAGTCCAAGGTCCCTAGCCTGGCATTTAAGTCACCCTGTAATACAGACCCTTCTAAATTTCTTATCTTCTTCTCTAACACTCTAGGTGGTTTGACGGGAAAGTTTTTCTCTGCTTCAGAGGTGCACCCTGACTAGGTTAAGACAATGTGTCTCAGTCTCCACCTACCAAGACAGAGATGAGCACATGATGTTAATAGGTCAATGGATCTCCATTCTGGACTTTGGTTGCCTTATTACGTAGAAAAATAAAACAAAATACTTTGTTTTTCTCACTGGATGTGAACATGTAAACAGATAACCTCTGGAACTGCCACTGGCCATCTTGGGATCATGAGAAGAGAATATGAGTGAAATTAAGTGACTACCAAAGAAACAGAACGGAAACATAGAAAAAGAGGGACTAGATCCCTAGTGTGCTATTTCACTCTTGTATAGAGATTTGCTTGCAGAAGGAATACACTCAAATTTTCAGTTATTTGCAAGTCTATAAATTCCTTTTTTGGTGAAGTCATTTTGGGTTGGTATTTCTGTTACTTGCAATTAAAGATCTTTTAAATCTATTTTTGTATGTTTTTTATCGTATACCTATCATCTCATTCACTTTTACTCATCTCTTCTTATCCATAGTTTGTCTATTTTTCATGATTCAGCTCACCTCTCCCATGAAACTTTTCGTGATTCTTCCAATTCATAATGAAAGACTCCTAATTGAAACCATCATTGTATATACTAATAAAAGAGCTCATCATAGTATAGAACATTATATCATTTGGTGACGATTCCCCAATCTAATCTTTAGCCCAAACATTCTTTTTTTATCTTCAGATTTTTACTTCTAATGTAGTAGTTGACATGTCAACTTGAATGTTTTGAAGGCTCTCCACTAAATTTGTCCACAACTGAATTCATAAAAACAAACCATCCTGTCAAATACAGCCTTTCTCCAGTGTTCCCTCTTCACAAATGGCACCATCAGCCCTCAGTCAAATAAGCCAGAAACCAAGGTCTTCAACTGTCTTAAAAGGAATCACAGTAGATTTGACCCCTCTTTCCTCTCTCAGACCCAGTGTCTAATCATGACATTCTTTTGATTTTCTTCCAACATAATTTTCAAATCTACTTTGTCCACTTTTTTCCCTACATCCTCCAATTCTTCCTCCTCCTCCTCTTCCACCACCACTGTCAAAACCTTAGCTGTTGCCCAGAATATGGCATGGCTTCTTTCTGTCTCCCACCCTACATTTTGCTTCCCTCCAGTATGTTCTCCTCCTGACATCTAGAGTGATCTTTTAGAAACATTCAATTAATCATATCCATCCCTTGTTTAAAGACCTTCAATTCTTCCCCCTGTCCTTAGGATGAAGGCTAAAACTTCACAGTGACCTCATTTCATCCCTGGCTTGCTTAATTCTCCCACCTCTTCTCCCTAGACGGTAGTGATACTTTCTGGTTATCTCAGTTTTAGTTACCCAGGATTCAACAGAGTGTTCAGCACATAGCAGGCATTCAATAAATATTTGTTGAATGAATGAACAATTTGGAATAACTCTTGAACTGTGAACCACCTTGTTATTAATTTTTCCTTTACATTTTATTTTCTGAATTACTTATAGCACATTGAAGACAAGGATGTGTCATATTTCTTTGTGCCCTGTAGCAGAATGTAATGCAGGCAGTAGGGGTTCATTTGGGGGTTGATTTTATTGATATTGATAATTCAACTCTGATTTCTTTTTCCTTTTCTTTTTATTTTTTTTGAGTTGGAGTCTCATTCTGTCGCCCAGACTGGAGTGCAGTGGCTGCTCCCGGCCACTGCAGCCTCGACCTGCTGGGGCTGGGGCTTCGGCGATCCTTCCACCTCAGCCTTCCAAGTAGCTGGAATTACAGGCGTGCTACCACACCTGGCTAATTTTTTGATTTATTGTAGAGATGAGGTCTCACCAAGTTGCCCAGGCGGGTCTCAAACCCTTGGGTTCAGGCAATCCACTCACTTCAGCCTCCCAAGGTGCGGGATTACAGGCTGAGCCAACGAACCCAGCTTGATTTCTTTTTAAAGAGTTGAAGTTCACTTTATCACAACGTCCAGGTTATCATTTTTTCATAAAATTAGAAATGAACAAGGGGAAATATATTATTCCTCTGTCAAAAAATGGAATTGCAAAATAGAATATTTGGGTCTGATCATACTTTTGCAGAATTTATACAGATTGGCTTTAAAGAAGTTATTTTTCTACATGACACAAAAACTCTCAGATAAGTCTTCAGTATATGAACAAAGACTCAAGCATAATGTCATC